CACAGCCACAGACACAGTAAGAATCAGTGAGACCCAGACATTAACCCTGGAGCCTCGTGTTGAACCTCCACCTGCTGTAGCCGCTGAACTTTGCTCTCCAGGATTTCCTGCATGTGGCTGATCTCCACCTGTCGCTCCGCCAGGTGGCGCTGCAGCTCTGCTTCATTCTGATTGGTCAAGCTGTCTGCTGTTAGCCTGAAGAGTCAGAAGAAATCCAGATACATGCATTAAACATTCACTTCCTGTTTAGAACATGTGACTTCCTGTTTAGGACCCATGTCACGGGGAGATGAAAAACAAAAAGTGGGAGTTCTTTCACCTCACTACTCTACTACAACACTACTACTACTTTACTACAACTCTACTACAACTACAATCCAAAATGACAGTGTTTTCAAACCAATACCATAGTAAACAAACACCTCTCTGCTCCGACCACTCTCCGTGGTACTGTTCAGTGATCGGGCCAGACCCCAACAGCTGACCCACAGGCAGCTGCTGCAGCACAAATAGTTCCAGACTCAGTAACGGTCACTGGCCTCCTCCTCCTCCTCCTCCTGCTCCTCCTCCTGCTGCTCCTCCTCCTGCTGCTGCTGCTGCTGCTGCTTTGCTCCTTTACACCCTCAGTCCAGGCCCTATCTCCCCCCCAGCTCTTGACCTCATTCCTCACCCCTGGTCTAGTATCCTAGACTGCATTAGTGCCAGAGGACCAGACAAGCTGAACATACAGAACCCTTGTTGGTTTGCCTGATGGTTCCACGTGGGGGAAGGTGGGTGGGGTCACAGATGATCAGAGGTTCTGACGGAGAGATGATAAAAAAAAAAACAGATCTGTCCAGGAAGTGAAGAAGAAAACTCACACAGCTTTGTCCAGGAGCTGCTGTTTGTCCTCCAGCTCCTGCTTCAAACTCTCCACTGCCACCTTCAGTTCAATGTTCTGAAACACAAGAACATTTTCATCCTTTCATTACTGCAGACAAATCCTGAAATCAAGTCTGGATAAAAACAAATTTCATTTATATACTTCAATTTTACAATGAGGGGGTTAGTACTGGAGCTGACTGCATCAAATACTGTCACTCAAACACACTGTTGAATATACTGTATATATGTTAACATTTATAGAGTGTATATGTAGTATATACAGTATGTTATACATATGTTGACGTTCCACTGCCTGTTCTCCTGCAGACCTGGAGCCTCACGTGCTGCTGACTCTGAATTGAACTGAATCTCAGAGGTTTATAAATAGACTGTGTTGACGATGTTGAACACCTGCTCTATTTAACACCCCCCCCCCCCCACCGGGCCCCCCCCCCACCCCCCCCCCCCTCTACCCCCC